CACTATTCAACTTTGTTTTAAATGTTTATGGCTTAATGACAATATCAAAGTAATCCACATAAGATACATATATGTCAAAAGAGACTGATCCATTACAACGCTAAACATACATGAGAAAATTCAAGAAACTGATATCAATAACCTAAAACTATATTCATTTATTCTACATCAGGAGTTAGAGGCAGACATGAAAAGGATGAATATCAATTGGAAACGACTGGAAAGGATTACTCACAACACGGTTGTATGGAGAATGCTGGTGCACAGCTTATGCTGCTCCACGAGAGGTAACAGCCGTTAATAGATAAGTACGCATGTACATATGTATGGATGTTTGTAAGTAAGTAAGTAAGTAAGTAAGTAAGTAAGTAAGTAAGTAAGTAAGTAAGTAAGTAAGTAAGTAAGTAAGTAAGTAAGTAAGTAAGTAAGTAAGTAAGTAAGTAAGTAAGTAAGTAAGTAAGTAAGTAAGTAAGTAAGTAAGTAAGTAAGTAAGTAAGTAAGTAAGTAAGTAAGTAAGTAAGTAAGTAAGTAAGTAAGTAATATTCATTTATATTGCGAAAAGCGTTTCATTTTGCTCATTATATTTTAACAATTCAAATGATTAGAATCTATTTATTGAGCGGTACAATCCTCTTATTTGGCAAACTGATTTATATTCATTGTAACATATACACATTTAGTCACAGATGGTGATGTACATAATTCACGAATTAAAAACAAAAACAAAAAATAATCGAAAAAAAGGAAAAAAATGTAAAAAACAAAGAAAAAATAAAAAAAATTTTTTTAAATTCTAAATACTTCTACATACCAAAAAAACATTAAATTATTTACATAATTGTACTAAACATTATCCCTTCCACTTCTTCTTCCCCTTCCACTTCTCCTTCCCCTTCCACTTCTCCTTCCCCTTTTTTTGTTCTTCTTCCTCTTCTTCGATTTGTTTGTTTGTTTGTTTTTGATTATTATAATTTTTTTGGAAATGATTCAATTATATCTCATTCAATACGAAATCCCTTTAGGCTATTTGAAATGGTGAAATGATTCAATTGAGTTTATTAATAATAATAATAATAATAATAATAATAATAATAATAATAATAATAATAATAATAGTGATAATGGTAATAGTGATCATAGTGATATGTTCACATAAACTCGTTTATTGACACCATTTCAATTTTTGTTTCTTTTTCCCTTCTCAATTGTCAATTTATGCATTACCATATAGTCTAATACAAAGTAATAAACTGATTGTAATACATTATGATAGAAAAGGTATTAACAAAACAAAACGAATTATGATTGAATTTTATTAACGAGTTAACTTCAGGTGAGCAACTACGAAGATTGGTGCAGAATAATAAATGAATTCATTTTATTACATACGATGAAGGTATCATCAACAGACCTCATCAATTGCTCCTTCGAGCTTGGTTCTTTAGAGATTATCCATGAAAATATCTGTTAGGACAGGACCTAATTTGATCTCTTATTTATTATGAAAAAGGTTTAGTAAATTTTTTTTTGCAAATTTATTCAATTTTGAAGATATATATATTCACTTGGAGTTGTATTAGTTGTATCGTCTATGAAGTGAACATAAAGTCTATAGTACAGGTATATTCAGTTGACGAGTCATTAATGGGACAAAATATGCACCGCTAGCCACTATCGATCTTTGTTTAAGAAGCTTGTGAAGTAAATTAACAGTGCCATTGCAGCAGTGACATCTCCTTGACACAGGACATGAAGTTGATACACTGAAGTCCTTCAAGGTGATTAACAAACAATCAAACTCCCACCTCTAGAAATTTGCCGAAGCAATAGCAATCAAACATCTAAAACCAGACCTATGTATACGAAAAAGAGACAGTAGTAAATCTTTCTTTACCCTGGTAACAATAACAATTACATCATGCATAACTGACTGATTTCAATTCATATTTTCTTTATTATCATTAATCTATTTTCATGAGTTCTAATCACTATTTCAATGGTCCAGAACTTTCCCTCACTAACTTTATTTATTTATTCGAATCAAATATTTTATGAGCTCATTAACTCTATCGGTATCTTCGCTACACCATGATACACATTTATTTACCCTCTTATGTATAAATATGTCAATATCTGTAATTATGTTGAATTTTAAATATTTTAGGTTGTAAGCAGCTAATGACAACCTAATGAAATAAAATGAATTCATTTATTATTCTGCACCAATGTTTGTTCTTACTCTCTTTGCTTAAGAAGCTTGTGAATTATGGCAATATCGAAACGATTCATATAGTATACACATATGTCAATAACAGATTGATCAATTGTAATCCTAAACAGTAATGAGAAGTTTCAAGTAAAACAATATCAAGATTATTCATTGTTTAGTTAAAACGAACCGATAAGTACCGTACCTACTTTCCAACCACTCACCTACCAATTAACCAAGCAACCAATATACACACATACATACACATGCATATACACATAAATTTACATGAAACAATAAGTAAGTTATACAAAATCTGAAAGAATTATAGAGTAATCTGTCATATTCCCATGTTATTATAGAAGATTAAGTCTTGTTCACCGGTATTTTTTTTTCTTTATTATTTTGTACAAACAAATATTTCATTGTTTTAATAAATTTGTTCACGGAAACACTGCTGATATGATAGCTGAATTAACTTAGTAACATTTGATTTATACTCTATAATAGAGATATCTTTATACTTGTATTTGTAAACATCTTTGTTTTCTAGAAATGTAATACAATATTGGTCAACAATACATTATAATTATTAGTGGTAGGGGTGGTGGTGGTGGTGATGGTGGTGGTGGTGATGGTGGTGGTGGTGGTGGTGGTAATAGTGATGTTCCGATCTCAGCAGCAACAGCAACAACAAAGGCTTCCGATACTATTTTAATATATTTTGATTTACTACTCGAAGAAACATAAATAATCACACATACATGCACACACACACACAAAATGAAAACATTCCTTTGTAAAAAAAAGAAGAAAGAAAAGCCAGAAAAAGAAATTTTTCTCAGTTTAAACAACAAAAGGGATACTATCAATGAACAATAAAAAATGAATAATTGACTATACAATGAAAACAGAACGAGAAGAAGAAGTGGAAGAATATAACGTACATGTTTACAAACTTACATAAATGTAAATTCACTATTGTACTAAAAATGTCATGTAATGTAAGCATGTAAACAAAATAACTTATTTACTGACGTCCGTTACTTTTCGTGAAGGAGCATAGGTCGCTCATCAGTATTCACCAACCAAACGTGTCGTGAACAAATTTTCTCAGCTCTTTCTAGTTGATATTCATCCTTTTCATATTTGATTCTATTTTCCGATGTAATGTGTTCTTTGACCTTCCTCTTTTCCGCTTACCTTCAGGATTCCAAACTAGCGCTTGTCTAGTGATGCAGTTTGATGATTTCCGTAATGTATATCCTATCGATTTTCATCGTCTTTTCCTAATTTCTTCCTCAGCCAAAAGCTGATTTGTTCTCTCCCATAGTAGGCTTTTATAATAATAACTACTTATATAAATATATATTACTTATTAGAAAATTGGTTGTCATTATTATTGAGCCACTTGATGAATATTTTATAATGACTTTCTTTGATTTCTGTGGAGAAACAGTCCCTGATGAAATTCAGTGATGGTGAAAGTATGACATATTATCGATGACAATAGATTCTATATGATTAATATATATTTAAAGACTAGAGTTTGGAATTCATATCATCAAATTAATTACTTAACTGTCTCAAGTTACACTGACAGAGAGACCTAATTTCAACTGTTAGTGAGTTCCAAAGTAATAATAGAATAAATACCTATTGAAATATTGCTTTTCTACAGCTTTCCAGTCTAACTTATGTTATGACAATGCCTTATACAGAAAGTATTATCTTCATATTGGTGGTTGAATGGGTCAATAGTAATTTTAATAACTAGACTGAAAAGTAGATAATAGATGAAAAAATAGAGTGAATATTTGATTTGGGACAAATACGTTTTCTTTACAGTGTTTACTGTCTGTTACTACCTTGACGTGGTAGTCGGGCTTGCTTATCATGATAAACCAATCGAACTATACTGGCTGAAACAATCGTTCATCAAGGTACTACCATGTCAGACAGGTCGTTCGAAGAACGGTAAGACTAAAAGCATCAAACCCAAAGTCCGAAGTTTTAATCGTACTGCTGAATGTACAGAAAACTAGCATAACAGCGAGGAGGGATTGAATTAAATTAGGTTGAACCTAAAAATGCACACCTCTCCTTATCCCACAGATATCTGTCTCCGGCTCTAAGATCTCCACAAGTATAGCGCTAACACCAAAATTACTCACAAAAAAGTCGTTTATGACCGACCACAATCAGTTGTCCCTTGAGTACTGCAGTCACACTCTCAGATCACTAAGACTACCTGTAATCCAATTTGCTTTTCAAATACCTCCAGTAGAACCCTTCCACAATGTGAGCAATCGGAAAGTGATAACCACTCTCATATTTCTAATAACATTCAAAACCATTGTATTCAATTCCTATTTTATCATTGTAAAACATTATTAATTAAACATTAGAGACAATAGTGTAAGAGATAAAACATTGAATAAGTTGATTGATGTCGATCCTTTTTATACAACCAAAAAAGAAAGAAAAAACACCCTACATCTTCACAAACAAAGACGGAAAAAAAGCGACATAGATACAGGATATTAGTTTATTTTGTAGAAGTTTTGTCATCATGAAAACCAGATGTTTGTAAAGGTTTATGTATTTTCTTGTTTTTGATGTTAAATAATTACCATTTATCATTTTATATTACCATAGATTTATATATATGTAGGTATGTGTGTATATATATACATAAAGATAGATGGGCATTAGTATGGAGGTACACTTAGCTGTTAAAGTCCCATAGTAAGAAGAAATTCCTATTCTAGATTCCGTTGTTAACTTGCATTCAAACTTTGTTCTCATCATAATCATCCAAATTATCATCATCATCATCATCATCATCATCATCATCATCATCATCATCATCATCATCATCATCATCATCATCATCATCATCATCATCATCATCATCATCATCATCATCATCATCATCATCATCATCATCATCATCATCATCATCATCATCATCATCATCATCATCATCATCATCATCATCATCATCATCATCATCATCATCATCATCATCATCATCATCATCATCATCATCATCATCATCATCATCATCATCATCATCATCATCATCATCATCATCATCATCATCATCATCATCATCATCATCATCATCATCATCATCATCATCATCATCATCATCATCATCATCATCATCATCATCATCATCATCATCATCATCATCATCATCATCATCATCATCATCATCATCATCATCATCATCATCATCATCATCATCATCATCATCATCATCATCATCATCATCATCATCATCATCATCATCATCATCATCATCATCATCATCATCATCATCATCATCATCATCATCATCATCATCATCATCATCATCATCATCATCATCATCATCATCATCATCATCATCATCATCATCATCATCATCATCATCATCATCATCATCATCATCATCATCATCATCATCATTATCATTAAGAATATAACTTGTAATAAGTAAGTATGTGTACACTTACAATTCTGTAGTGTGATGGAATTCATTCAGACAAAATAGGATTAATTCAACAAAAAATTATGTATATGATCTATCACTAGTAGAAATTTACAACTAACTTGTGATTTTTTTGTTGTTTTTTTGTTCTTGTTGTTGACTAATTACATAGATGTATTTACGGAAGTTATGAATACATCTAGTTTGTTTAAGTTAAACTGAATAAAAGAATGATGGAAAATAGAAAACATTCCATTGACTTTCTATTATGTCCTGATAAGCATAATGAATGGTAACTTTTGGGATTTATTTATGGAAAAATACTATACGTATGTTTTTATCGTATAACTAAACTATTCATATTCATGTTCCTCTTATTATGAGCTTTATTTTGACCTATGAACTATTATTCTACAATTTACCATTCCTGAGTTATCCCATGTCTATCAATTACTATCTCCCACTTTTGGCTAAATCTTGTAGAAATGTTTATTCCTATTTTATGGTACAATATGGTCGGTCTAGTCGGTATATAAACCCAATATGTTTGAAATAAACGATTCACATCGTGAGGCTGAGATTGGTGTTCTCGACTTAACTGGTTGGACTACGCAGAAAGCAGGACTAATCAGGACTCTAGAATGCTCGTACGGGTTTTTATGCCTCACTGATCCGATCGATAATCCAGTGCTCTCTAATTGACGGTATCATTACGTTATACATTAGCAGGGCACACAGGTCACAATTTAAATCACTTTCATTTAACAATCCAAAGAAATTATGTTTATTTATATGGGTTATAATGTGTTTTTTTTTAAAGAAAGAATTATAAATATAGTATTTATTTCATTCTATTGTCTGTAACAGGACAATACACTAATTTATATAGTGCAGTTCCAATCAGACACAAAAGGAACTTGATAAAGATCCTGACTCATTGTGCCAGAATGATTTGGTCGGATGACACTATTGGAGATGAATTAGTTAATATTTGTAACTCACTTAGTAATAATGGGTACCATATAAAATTCATCGGCAAACACATGAAGGAGATGAAAAGAAGGACAAAGATACCTACCGTTCCTAAGAAAGTGTTGTTCATAAAATTACAATTCATAGGTAACACTACTGAAAAAATTGTGACTGAAAGACTCAGAAAAACGGTACAAAAAACATATAATACAGCCAGATTAAGTGCTATCTTCTTCAACCACCCCACAATAAGAACGGTCAATAAAGACAGATTGCCTGAATTCGTCAAATCCTTGTGTATTTATCGATTCAAATGCTCCTGTGGAGCCAGTTATATAGGACGTACAATTTGGCAAGTTCGTCATCGTATAACAGCTTCATCCGTCGTGGTTAAGCAAAGGGCAGGTAAGAGTGATTAAATGTTCTATTCCCGCTTACTTGGTTGACACAGATCATCAAGTTGAACTGAATAAATCTTTTAAGCTTATCTACCATATTTCATCGAATTTACCACATGGTTTACGAGTGCGTCTTTTGAATATCGAGGAAGCTATCGCAATCCATGTTCACAAACCTAACCTTTGCATCCAAAAGAAATTTGTACAACCACTTTCACTACATTGACGATGAGTATTACGGTGCTTGCAACAAAACTATTTTTGTACTTCTTTCACTTGTTTTTTGAACTTTGTACTTTTTCTCAACATTCATCTCTTGATTCTTACATAACTACTATTCTATTGACCATCCATTAAAATATTCCGTTCCTTCTCTTTTTCATATAATATGCAACGTAGCAACTTCTTGATTATCGAATAATTACTTTGATTATTATTATTGTTCCTCTCTCTTCCAATTACTCAATGTTAATTTAAAAACCAAAATGTCATTATTGCGTAACGTATCCACTCGATGAGTATTATTTTAGTTTAGGGGTTGTATAGATTGTTAAGTTTTTTTTATTAAGATCTTGAACCGATTAATGTTAGACTACCGTCGAAAACCTGAAAGCACTGGACGGCCGTTTCTTCCTATTATGGGACTACTCAACAGTGCGCATCCACGATCCCACTCGCAGGACTCGAACTCAGGGCCTTTGGTCACACGCGCGAACGCCTAACCTACTGGACCACTGAGCCGGCACTCAATAGTGATAGTGTCTAACATCAACCATTCCACATTTTTATTCTTCAGAGAATTAATGTGTTTGTCTAGTTTAGATACTTATTACTTGGTCTGATATTCAATGTTGTTACTATCAAAGTATTTGACGTCAATCTAAATTACTAAATAACTGAGTTACTGATAATTATTGATCATAAAGTGATAACCAGCGTTAAGTTAAATTATCGATGAATTTGGAACTTGTTACAAGACTTGAACTTTTCATTAATGATTGAAAATGTGATTCACAATGATAAAAATTGAATATAAACTTTTGAAAACTCATGTGATATATCTGTATTGTATGTTAATTATGTTGACAGATATAAGTAGTATATAACATTGGTCAAAAGTGGAATGCCTGTCTGAAGAGGTTTGAGAAAATCGAATTGAAGAGAACAGGAATGTAAACAGAGAGTACTTATAATGACAACAGGAATGAAGGAAAGATAATATTTGTAAGAAGTACAAATGAAGTATTTAATGCATGATTTTCATATGTTTACGAAGACTTTCTATGATTTGTTTTAAACAATAAATTGAACTTCCCTCACCTGAGTTCTCCTTCACTACATATCGAATCTTCATACAAACTATTCATTGAATTTCTGGAAGAAAGACTCTTGGTTTTAGTGTTTTGTACCCTAACTAGTTAACATTTGTAATTTAGAAATATGTCAAGACTATAATTTATGAATGAAACAATGAGGTTTAAAATAAGGAGTCCTGGATTTCAGTGAGAAATTCATTCATCCATTTGGCTAAAGAGCATCTTGGTATTTTAACTGATGTCAGTTCGTGATGAAAACCCTAAATCAAATTGCTTACTTTAATCAACTAATGTAAATCATAATGTTCGTTCTTCACACTGCTTAATCACCCTCATTTAGTCCTAGTAAGTAGACACTATCAAAGTCAGTAAGGCGTCGCTGTAAGGTCATTCATAAAGTTATAGTCTCACCAGAAATGTTTATAAATCACTAACGATATGATGAGCTCAAATGTAAGATATTGAGAGCTTTATATCAGAGACTTACGTACTTACTTAGTTATTTATACCGCTTACCACTTTTCACCATTCAGTTCTGTCCTGGGCAATACTTTCCAGTTGCCCCCAGTTGCTATACATCCTCTTCATATCTGCTTTCAATTCACAATGTAGTATGTTTTATGGGCTTCCTATTTTCTGTTTCCCTTCAGGATTAAAAGTTAGCGCTTGCCCTATGATGCAGTTTGGTGATTACCACAATGTACGTCCTATCCACTTCAAATGTCTTTTTCGAAGATGGAACCTGATTTGTTCTCTTCCACGTTAGGTTGTTGCTAATGTTATCCGGCCAACGGACATTGAGTATCTTACATAGGTAATTGTTTATAAATACTTGCACGCTTTTTTGATGGTGGTTATAGTAGTACCCCAAGTTTCAGCTTCATACAATAAGACTCACTGTCATGACGTTCGTATTGAAGGTTGTGATTTTGATATTGGTTAACAGACAGTTGTTTTGAGTTTCATATATTCTTCAATTATAGGAATACTGTCCTTGCTTTGCCAATCTTCACCTTTACGTTTGCTACTGCTACACTAGTTGTCTTCATCTGCATTTATTCGTGTGTAAGAAGTAAAAGAATGAGGTCATATACAAATTTCATATCTTCTAATTGATTCCAAGCTGTCCATTTGTATTCTGTACTATCACTCAGATGTCTAGGTTTTCATAATCCAGTCGACCGCCGGAAGAAAGAGCAAAGGAAGAGGGCGAAAATTATCATAGTTATGTAACAAAATGTAATAGATAATGTTAAGAACTTAAACTAAGCAAAAGTATATATGTAGCTTAAGTGTGAATAGATCTCATGATCACCTCCTCTTTATAATTTAATTTCAATTATTTTTCTTTTGTTCAAATCATTCAGACAGACTACTTTTTTTTCCTTTTTAAAAGTAACCATGGTGATTATCTTTTTTACGATCATCAGATGATACAAAAAAAAGAGATAAAACAAGATCATTGAAACATTTCACTAATATACAATGAACTATGATAAATTATTGAACGGTTGATAAAGTTTGATTGATTTATACATTATTGAATCTGATTGATTGATTTTTCGTGGATGTGCACTGCTAAGGTGGAGTCCCATAGTTGGACGAAACGGCCATCTAGTATTTCAAGGTTTTCTATGATGGTCTGGCTTTAATTGACTCATAAATTCAACTGCTATAATATCCACAAACACCCCTTCTTATACATAAATGCAATACAAAGTTCTAGAATGTTTTCGTGTTCTTCAATGTTGTTTATTTTTTTCATTTTGTCCGCGTACTATTTTAATGGCCCTGGAATATCTTACACCAATTATATCGTAGGAATGATTGTTGTTGTGATATATACTTCGGCTATCCTTGTATACAATTATCGACATAGATCGGGTTAGTGAATAATAGAAATAAATAAGTCAGATGTTTGAATTTGTATATTTTCACACTCATTGATCTGTGCAGACAATCAGAGGAACGACGACACGAGAGAGAAGCGAAATGACGTGCAGTGGTGAAGGCTTGTGAGCCATTTTGAAATCAATTAGATCGGACGATGTTATTGATGGTCTCAGCACTTTAGAAGCTCGATATCTGATATCAATTGAACTGTATGGATGTTAATGAAATACACATATCATCAACGTAAATCGCGTTAGTAAAGAACAGAGTTAAATAAGCCAAATACGAGAATGGATGTTTGAATACATATATTGTGTACACTCATTGATCTAGACAGGCAATTAGATGAAATAAGTGAAGAGATGAGAGCAGAGCAAAATGACAAGCAATGGTGTAGGGGTGTGAATCAACTCGAGTTAATCAAGCGTACATCAATATTTATAGCCATATAAAAATATGTTACAGATATATAATGAGTAATGTAAGAAATGTGTACACATTTGTTTACATAGAAACATTCAATATTGACAATCGAATAATTAACAATGTCAAAATGTAGCTTGAGAAGAATGAATTCCGAAACTACACACTACAAACTCATACGATTATTAACGGTTGTTATGATAAACAAATATGTAAACTACTGAAGTTTCACATCATGGAGTAACATTAGGTCAAACAAACATTGATGAAGCTACAGTAATAGACCTCTCAGTAGTGTATATCCATAACTTCACATTGATAGTCTCATTTTTTTTAGTGTCAATCACATGATTTGTCTAGATGTTGGTAAACTATGCCATTATTATTTAAGCTTAAATGTTTATCAAATGTATGTCATAAAAAAGTGATTCAATTATTCAACGAAAAAAATATGAGATAAAGAATAATTTGTATTTAAATAGTTGAATTAAAGTTAGACTACCATGGAAAACCTGAAAACACTGAACGGCCGTTTCGTTCTAGTGTGGGATACTTCATCAGTGCGCATACACGATCCCCGCCTGTATTATTATTCAAACCCAAGACACATACACATACACGTTCATATCAAAACAGTCATGTTGGATAATGGAATAATTAACAGGATCAAAATATGTCTTAAGAACAATTGATAAATTGGTTTGTACGGAAGCTACAATAAATTATATGGGTTTAACATATTACTACAATCTATAAATTAGTTAGACGAGAGAAAAGTTGAATTCAAAATTTTTAGTAAAAATAGACATTATTATGATGGAGAAGATTTATAGACCAGTTGGATGATTCTCCACATGTTGAGTAATTCGAACACTTCACTTCTACGTTGAGTTTGTACTGTATATGATGTCGTTCAGAAGAATGATACAAGCTCCATGACCAAATCATTCAGTTCAAAGAATAAAACTCCATTAAATAATATTGATTATCATAGACTGTAATTTCTCTAAGAAAATTCTATAAACAGTGAGATCTAATAGTAAAAAGAAGGAAAGGGATACATTTTTCGATGAGGTATAATATTCCTACTATTGAAGTACTTAAAATTTTAAAAGATCTGCAGCAAACTAAACCATGTCATTCATTAGATAAATGAATTCTACAGAATTGTTCTATAGATGATCCTATGTGATCTAGTCAGTAAAGATATTGAAACTATTACATATAGCCAGATTATAAACTTTTATTCATTACCAAATAATATCTATTTAACAAATCTGATAAATACGATGTGCTCACTAGTGACTAGCTTCGTGAGAAAATTCTTGGAGTTCTGGTGATGAGCCGTGATTAATGAAGCTAATCCTTGTCGGGTAGAAACAGGTGTCTACCTCAGTACAATGGAAGATGGTCGCGCAATTTTGTGGATTGGTTGAGGTTATACATTAACACCATCGGATGCCAGCTCAGTGGTCTAGTAGGTTAAGCGTTTGCGCGCGAGACCGAAGGCCCTGGGTTCAAATCCCGCAAGCAAGATCACGGATTTACACTGCTGAGGAGTGCCATAGTTAGACAAAGCGACCGTCTACTGCTTCCAGATTTCTCATGATGGTCTAACTTTAATTGACTCATAAATTAATATGAAATAAAGAAATAATGAGTTGAATAATTTTCCTTCGTATATTGAATATACAAATTATGAATCTGTTTGCCAATAAAGTGATTCCTAAAAGCTGATAAATTATACGTTTCACATGAGTAATTGTGTTGGCTATTGGTAAATTAAATTACTGCTTATTGTATGTTATTTTCTGTGATGATCGCCTACTATGAGATTTAACAAACCAGCTTTTAGATGAAGATGAAATCAGTAAAAGACGTTGGAAGTGGATAGAACATACATTGTGAAAATCATCAAACTATATCACAAGGCATTTTCTAATTTCAAACCTTTGAGGTAAACCAAAACGTGAAAGACCAAAGAATACACTGTATTAAGAATCGAAAGCAGATATAAAGAGAATGTATAGCAACTGGAAACGATTGCTCAGGACAGAGTCAGATATAAAATGGTGGTGAGCAGCCTATGTTCCTCCACGAGGGGTAACAGTGTAAGTAAGTAAATAAGTTCTATGACGATTCCGATAATTAATAACGAAGTTATGATGTTACTCATTGTTTACTCCCTTTTGATTTCTTCTTGATAAGCAAATTTTCAATATTTACTTTTAGAAGTAAGAAGATTATAACCAGTTATGTTTTCAACTGTGATTTCCACTTCATGGAATATGGAAAGCTTCATTGAACGGAAAAATTAGTTTTTGTATCCTATGTTGTGTATAGTGTTGAGAATTTCTGTGAAGTCATTAGAATACTGCATATGTTTGTTTTTAATAATTATATTACAATGGTACTTCTGTGATATGTTCTACTAATGTTGACAGATAATATAAGTAGTATGTATCATTAATTGAAAGTGAATTGTTTGGAATCATACGGTTAAGAAGATGGAAGAAAAGAGAACGAGAACGAAGAATTATTAGTGTGGAAATGAAGGAACAAGGAAGTCTGAGACAATTGATTGATATTTTACAAATGAAGTATTATCAGCGCATTGCTGAGGAGTCCCATACTAGGACGAAACGGCCGTCCAGGTTTTCCATTGTGGTCTAGCTTCAATTGATTCATGATTTCAACCAGTGAAATGAAGTATTCACTGTATGGTTCTCAGATTTTACTAATACGATTGTCCGTACTTGTGTTCTCAATCACTGCATGTCTATTAACCATAATACTTGAGTAGAATTATTTACTATACAACAGATAGTAATAACCAAATTAATATTCACCTACTTACCAGTAATCAATACGGAAACATAAACAGTATCCATCCATTTCATAACTATCCTACCTATGATGTCAACTGAAAATGGTCATTGAATTTTATAATTTTACTTAATTAAAATGAATAGTAATTCATTTAATCTGTGGTTTGTTTTCTATCATTGTTTCCTTGCTTTTTTTCTTTTTTACTGAATTATTTAGTAACTAATATATGCCAACATGAGATTGATCAATCGTAGTCCTAAATAACAATGGAAAGATACAAGTAAAACAACACTAAGTCAATTTAAACTTTAACTTATTGCATAAACAAGTGGCTATCAGGACTCAGTAGCTTAAAGGAAAACACGATGGTGTTTGAAGAGAACAGTATTGGGTTCGAATACCGGAAGGGAACATCAACAAGTTTGAAATGTAGGTACATCCGGCTGACGACTCCCATATAGGACGAAACATACGTCCTGAATTCCACTGTTATCCACTAACCATCTTTGCTTATAAAAGCTTGTGACATATAGTGATATCGAGGCAATTCGCACAGGATGTACATAAACCAATAAGAGACCGTTCAGTTGCAGACTTAAAGATCAATAGGAAGATTCAAGTAAAACAACACCAAGTGAACTGTTAGTTTATATTTAAACACAATTGATTGATCACTGGGTGGTGATCAATGTCATGTGTGTCAAGTCCCTATTTAATGCAGGTCGAATGCTATCGACCATGTTGCAATGTGGTCACCAGTCTAGATGACTCGACACTGCGTGCAATATATATTGAGATTAGACGGTGGTTGGAGTTAGTCAACAGGAAACCCTGGATCCGGGTTTCGTGCTACTTGACTGAGTGATAACGTCTCTTACTGTGAAGCTGGGTGACACGAGATCGAATCAGTCAGGGAGCACCAGGTCGCTCAATATTACAGGTACACCTTGCTGACGAGTGCCAAGTAGCACGAAAACTAGGTACAAAGTTTCCTGTCGACTACCTCCAACCACCATCTAGTCTGAATTTCTATTTAATTTTTCTCCTCAATAACGTATGTTTGTTCAGTTTTCAATTTTTCTTAGTTGTAATTGTCGTAAAAATATTAAGTTTTTTTGAGAAAAACATTTTTTACTGACGGTAATTAGAAATTCTATGATTAACATCAAACAGAATAATGAAGGTTAGCATTTTTAGGGAATCAAAAAAAGATTCAAACTGCTATATATACATCTAGACTATATAGGTATATATGTTAAGCTGTACATGTAATGAATAGTGTAACTGATCAGCTGAAGATTCAATGAAACAAATGTTCGTAGATACACAGTTTTGTTTATATCACGGAGTAATCACTGTGACATATATAACTATCAACGTAAAGGTTACCATTAAATGCCCTGGTACGACTGAGAATGGGGAGAGTTCACTCTCCCTCACATGGCCACACGTATACAATCATTTTCAGGGAAGTAATATTCACCACATTCTCATAGTGGGAGTGTTGTTCACGTAATTGAGAGGATGAAAAGTGCATGTTCAGAGCATTAACTAGGTTGGTGGATATAAAGGATTTATCTAGGGAAGTTGGAAAACCCTGATTCCAAACCAACGGTGCACATGGACTCCAATATCCTGAAAGAATAGATGACGTATGTACCTATTGTTGGTCACCGGCTACCATGAAATCGCATCTCTTTATGTTACCCACTGGCTTGTGGATTAGATCTGTAGGTTGAAGTCTCCGAGTGTGGCCCTCTAAGAAAATCACCTGCTTCAGTTCGGACGCCCAAGCAGTAGCACACCCCTCACTCAAATCCAATGACTTGTGTAGCATATATTTATTCGGTTCCAGTTTTTTACCAATGTTTATGGGTTCATATAAACAAAATAAATACATAATGGTTGTCTGCTTAGTTAAATGATTTTTTCAAAATATAATGTCAACTACATTGGTTAAAGAGACAAATGTTAATAATAAGGTAATATAAATTTGAATATACCTGAATTATCCTAGGTCTATAATTGCTCACATGACAAATGACAAATAATAGAGAGGACAAGAAGCGAATATCCGGTGCCTTAACTGTGTTGGTGGATATTGAACAAAATAAGTTGGAAAACCCTGTACATGTGGGCTCAAGGATCTTAAGGGAACAAATGGCATATGAACCTATTGTTTGTCACTGGCTACCATGGGATTGTATCTCCGAATGTTACTCCACTTCCTTGTGGATTAGACCTTTAGGTTAAAGGGTGTGACCCCTTAAGAAATCCACCTACTTCAACTTGATCACCCGGACAGTATTCCAGTCGAATGATGAAATGTGACGCATATATATCTAATACCTCCTTGTACCAACACTTAAATAAATTGCCAATCTAATCATTACAATAAAAATTTCTTTTAGAATCAACTAGTTATAATTATCATTATAAAAAAAAAATTTAAAAAGAAATTACTGAAATACACTTTGATGCAGTTTTATTCTCTGAACTGAATGTTTTAGTCATGGAGCTTTCATTGTTCTACTATGAACAACATCATCAGCTAATAATGTCGTTAATGATGACAATGAAATTTCCATGACTAAACCAATCCAGCTTAGAGAAAAGAAAACTCCATTAAAATCCATCCATCTGAGCTATAAATCTTCTCCATCCATTAAAATACACTATTTGAAAAATAAAAATAGCAATCATGCTGTGTTAATTATTCACATTAACTTCATTATTTAAATTATAGTTTTGTCATAGAACAAACCCGCATAACATCTAATTATGATCTGTTTATTATTATTATGATTAGTATTGTATAAATAGACAATAACTAATTAGTATCAGAAAAGGTTAGTTTGATAAATCAAATCCAAATAAATTAATTAATTCATAATTCAATATCAATAGATTTCTTGTTTATTGTCTTTGATTATGATCATTCAAATTTGATATTTAATGCGGGCTTTTATTACACACACATACACACATACATACCAACATAGATACAAACAAACAAACAAACAAAAACATATAAGACTTGTCATTATACTACTTATATTACTTTAATTAATTTAGTATCCACCATAATGAAGATTTTATTGGAATGTTAACTTACTGTACTGTGATTACTCTGTTTTATTCATTTTATTAAAAATAAAAAAAATAAATACTTGAATATGATTGGTTGTATTTTTTCAACCAATCAAATTTAAGTAATCATTATTATTATTATGATGACAAAACCAATACCATGACAAATAACTGAATAAAATAAGAATCGTTTTTTTAATTTTTTTTTAAGGGGTTAGGGTTAGGTAAAAGAAAAGGAAATGAGGTTGGATGGTGTGTAGGTGTGTATGTGTGTGTGCGTGTATCTATATAAATATGTTTGTATAGTGGTGTGTTTGCGTCATTCACAGATACTGATCACAAAACACTTATGTCATTGCATATGTGTATGTACTAGGTCAAAAAGAATGTTTTAAAGAAAACTTCAATATTACATCATTCTGCATGTGTTACATTGTTCCTTATATTGTATTTTGGTTGTTGTTGCTAAGGATTACAATATAGAAATCATAAAGATTATCAACGATATTATTGTCTTTCAAATAACTTTTATAATTTTTGTTTTACGAGGTTAAAAACATAATAAATTGTTTCTATTCTGTTAAAGAAGATTATTTACATTAAAAAAAAAATCAAATCAAATCATTATGTTAATGGATGATGTAAAACTTCAACAATCTTTAACATTTCATGTATCCCTTCCATCAATGAATTCATCGGATATGGGAATAACAGTGGATAATAACAATAATACTACTACTATTCATACTACTATTACTAATAGTAATGTGGATCCAATTTATATGAATCATAATCATAATAATAATAATAATAAAGAAAAGAATTTATCCACTACATCGACAAGAATACAATCACCATGTTATGGAAATATTAATTCATCAACGAATAGTCCTATTACTACTAGTCCATTAGCATTAGATCATTGGTCTGCTACATTATTAGCAGCACAAGCATTAGTTAGAACAAAAAAAGTATTTATTGGTGGTGTTTCTACTGGAACTACAGCTGATGAATTAAAAACATTTTTTAGTGAATTTGGTAAAGTAAGTAATAAAACTTGTATAGTTATATAGATTATTATTTATTAATACAGAATTATTATTGTGATAATAAAGAAGATTTGTAGTACAGGTAGATGATTTTAATAAAGTTTTATTCTCTCAGCTGGATAGTTTCGTTATGGAGCATTCATCGGCCTTCTGAACGACATCATCCACATTACAAACTTCCCATAGAAGTGAAGTGTCCGAATTTCTCCAATATGTAGTTCACAGCTTATTCTGTAGACCTCGATGTCCAGCTCAGAGAAAAAAACACCATCAAAGTATGATTCTGTTTCAGTTCTTTGATTTTTGCTATCAATCGGTCTATAACATAAGCTGTGAGTCATATGTGGATAGATTTGAACACTTCGCTTCTGCCTGAAGTTTGTGCTGAGGATATCGTCCAGAAAAACGATGAAAGCTGCCAGAACAAACCATCCAGCTCAGAAGACAAAACTCCATCAAAAATATCTAATGATATTTGAAGTAGAAAGAAAAGATTATACATTTGAATAATATGTATATAAGAAATGATCAGATTATTGTGAAAAAAATACAATGAATTCATCGTATTCTACAAATCTTATTGTCCTTACTTTGTTTAAATTTGTAAAGAGAACCAATTATATGATCTTTGAAACTCATTTATCTTTTACAAAAAGTTATTTAATGGTTAAATTTATAAGTCGATTAAAGCTAGAGCACAATGGAAAACCTAGAATCATCGGATGAACGTTACTTTCTAGTATACGATGACTAAGCAGTGCGCGCCTATGAATCCGCACTCGGAATTCTAACTCAGGACCTTGAGTCTCATGCGCGAACTCTTAACCTCTAGAATAATGAGCCAGCCGGGATCCAACGCTATTAATGTTTAACATGAACCAATCCGTGATATTTCAACCGCGTCCACCAATGTGTTCAGTGAGTAGCTATCTCACAACAGACTCGGTTGGACTCCGTCAGTTACGGCTTCTCACTAGAACTCCAGGAAATATATCTTGAAGTCAGTCACTGATGAACACACCATGATTGTTATCAGAATGAGGGGTTATGGATATTGTAGTAATTTAACAGTTGAATTTGTTGCTACAATAAATAAGCTTTTCAAATATTCAAAATAAATCAAGTGTAGATATGGTTCATTCGGCATATTTTTCTAGTGTAGTTTTAATCAGTATAAAATGAATTTAGATCACAAATCATACATTTGTGAAGTGCTTGCATGCGAGACCGTTAGGCCCTGGGTTCGATTCTCGCGAGACGGGTTCGTGAATGCGCACTGCTGAGGAGTCCCACAATAAGATGAAACGGCTGTTTAGTGCTTCCAAATTTTCCATTATGGTGTAGCTTCAATTGACTCATGATTTCAACTATTGAAATTGCTATAATCTGCACAAAACTCATTTTGAAAATAAATTACCTTTATAAAATTGGTTTATTAAAATGAATTTATTTCTTTAACTGGTTCTCTTCAACTTCATACAATCAAAGTATAACCATATTACTAGTATAGAGTTGTGGAGATTATTAAGTTTTTGATTAAGATCATGAACCGACTGTTGTTAGACCACCTTTGGAAACCTGGAAGCATCGGACGACCGTTTCGTCCTATTGTGGGACTCCTCAGTAGTGTGCATCCACGATCGCTCTCTCAAGAGATTCATAGCATTGTACGTATTTATCTATATTTGATCTCAAAGCGATCTTCATAACATATATGCTGGTTATAAAAAAACATTACATAAGAACACAAATGTCTAAAATAGTAAGAAAAAAACAGATTCATGTCAGAAGATCAATAATATCAAATATAAGAGTTTTCTCCTTTTATTTTTCTCCTCTTATTTCCTCTTCAGTAGCATAAATAGGTTTCTTTTGTTGGTTAAATATAATGAGTGAATAGATTTTCAATGGTAACTGATTATAACTCAAATAAATTGTAACTAATAAGATGTAAATAAGATGTGACGTAAGTAATTAGAAATGACAATCATGAATGTAATACAAGAATGGTAAAAGGATCTAACACATGAATCAATTCATTTTAAAATATTAACCGTCTAATATAAAATGACCATAGTGAGATTAACTCAATTTCCTTTCGTTAATGATTTTCTTCTTTACAGTTGTTATCTCTTAACTTCTAGCTTATGGACAGATAAATTTATCCATTCTTGTTAATTATTCACTTTTCAGCTTTGATTGTTTTGATATGAACGTGTGTGTGTGTGCTTCTTATCCTATTCATCACATATCTGAAGCCTATTGTTGTCTGACTATAAATATCGATTCACGCTTGAATAAATCAAGTTGGCTCGTATGCCTTCTCCACTGCTCTCGCTCCGTTTCGCTTCACTCTCTTCTATTTGCTTCTACTCGCTTTGTTCCTCTGATTGTCTATCCATATCAGAATGTACAAAACATAAGTATTCAGGACTTCATTCTTGTATTCAACTTATTTAATTCCATTATTCATGTCGACGATTGACGATATGTATATTTCAATAACCTTCATTTATACGATCGACTAGGAATCAGCTACCTGGCTACTAAAATACGAATCTACAAATTACATCTTATATACATTGATCTATCGAAGTTCTTTACCTAACTAATTCTTAGTCAGAATAACTGACATTAAATTATTATTACTAGACATACAAACAAGAAAAAATTCAACCTGATTTTAGACATTTCGACTATAAACTACAAAAACAAAACATATTTTCCTATCAAATAGACTACTTAAAACATAATTGTCAATCATCTTAAATCATTTAAACTATATTTTATTATTTCAAAATACTTTGATATTAACATCGTATTATAGTGAATACTACTTATATATAAGTAGTATATAACACTAATAAAAGGTTGAAAACTTAGATACAGAAGGCTAAGATTAGAAAGGAATTGTCAACAGTAAATTGGTCATCCTCAATTGAATCTTCGAGATGAAATCATTGAAACTAAACACATTTACTGAGTTACATGTATATATCACAATAGCATATAAATTTACTTACTTATTTACTTACATCTGTTACCCCCAATGGAGCAACTGCCACCGACGAACTCCACCTAAAGCTCCTTTGGAGATACTGCCGGTCTCGAACCTGGATAAAGGAGGAGGGTTGAGCATGGGGTTAACGATCCCTTCCCGTAGAAAATTAACTCGCTAAAAAAAACGCTAACTAGAAAAATAATATAGATGTGCTTAGTATGTATGTAAAAAATCAAAATGTAAATTTCTATTAAACACGCTTCTGTAATGGTTGTTTAATCCAATCGAATAACATAGTACCTCTTTGAAGACATGAATGTCTTCTTCACTTAGAAATTAACTTCACTGATTGGTTTATTTAGTTGCGACGATAAGAGCTAGATTTTCATAAGCTATTATCATTTACGAAATAGCCTTCGATACTTAAATAATCATATTCTTCCTCCCTGATGAGTTTATTGAAAGGTTTGAAATACAGAGTTATCCACATCGATAGAACAAACATTTAGGCACCGATTACGTCTCAATGATTGGAGTATATCAGTGATGGTAATTCTTTTCCTTCTCAAAATTTTGAAGAATCATTTTAGTGGATGCGATTGAAACTAGTGAGCACCTTTTGTTTGTGATGATAATGATCATTCATTGATTATTGATCAGTAATTAGAGGAAATTCCCAGAGTTCTAACGGGAGACTTTTACCATATTAAGGAAAAAAGAGGTGTCCACTGAAGATAATGAGACGTAATATCGTGAATCGACTAAACTTAGAAATGTACGTCACTGGATTACGTATCAAGGGTCTAGAGATTAAATGTTTGCGTACATGTACGACGTCCCTAGTGTCAATCTCTGGACAGGAGGTTGTCGGTGAGCGTTTCTGAGGAGTCGCATGTTAGGATAAAATGAGCGCTGAACACCAGGCTTTTAATGGTTATTGTTCGTAAGTTAAATACGAATCTGAAATTTCTGAGCTAATGCTCATTTTAATATCCTAATTAGCTTCTTGACCAAATAATTACTCAATACTTAGTTTCTGATTACTTTTTGTCAAGCTTTATACTTATTCTGTCATTTTAAAGCGTTCGCTGTTAAGTTATTCAAATGTAATATGATAACAGGGGGCTTGAATTTTACTTCGAATGATTTCTCATTACATTAAAATAACTTACCGACTTCTACGGGAAGTTTGTGCTAATGATGTCGTTCAAAATAACGATGAAAGCTCCACGAACAAAACATCCAGCTGAGAGAACAAAACTTCATCAAAAGCTTACAGACATAAGTAATATCCAAAGTTTAATCCGTCGGTTGAGTTTTGATGGAAACACTCCACAAGTTTTAATCAGTTAACAAGAATATTAATCATGTTTTTAAGTGATCGACGAAATTTACCTGATTGTTTATACAAAACAATAAATAATTCATTTGAGTTTACCACCCTTTCATTGAAGACAGTACATTATGAGTAAAAAGAAAAAGAAAATAGTCCCGTTATTCTTTATCATATGTTTGGCTACAGTAAAGAACACTCAGCAGACAATGTGTTATCAGTTCCTATGTTAAGCTCATCAGCTTATTCTAGCTTCCAGATATGTTAATTTATTTATTCTTCTTGAATCACATTTTGACCTTGTTAAGTATTCGCTTGTCAACATTGACTGTTTCTATGTTAGCAAATGTGTGTACATTTCTTATCTTACTCATTACATGTCTGTAACATATTTATGTGTGACTACAAATATCGATTAACGCTTGATTAAATTGAATTGACTCACACACCTCCATTGCTCGTCATTTCACTTCCTTTGCTTCGTACCGCTGATTGTTTTTCAAGATCAATGAGTGTACGAATTATATGTATTCAAACAGCGATTCTCGTGGGATTCGAACCTAGGGCGTTCAGTCTTGCGTGCGATCACTTAACCTTAAGACGAAACGGCCGTCCAGTGCTTGCAGGTTTTCAAAGGTAGTCTAACGTCAATCAGTCCAT